ATGTAATGCCCTCTACATGTGTGCGAATACACCCAAATACAGTAAATTCCGAGATAAAAACTTTTTTGTAGCCTTTTACTTGCGAGTAGTAAAATATACGCGAAGGAACGTTCACGAGTTGGAGAACTGACATTAAAACTCATTGTGATAAACAAAGAAGTTTTTTCAGATCGCTAACAGTAACGGCTGGTTCAAAACAAGTTTCTCGAAGTAGAGTGACGTCATTTGATCACGCATTGTGCGATAAATAAAATTTTGTATGCAATGGCACGCGGCAGGGAACTTAATTGTCAAAGCGATCGGAGGTTTCTAAACAACGTTATCGTGCATACGCACAGACATACAGACGGAAAGGCAGACAGACAGAAATACAAAATTATCTTCATGTACCTTCCGGTGCCCATCTTTCATGGTTCGTTCATAGTTCCTTTATTTCTCTTTTTGGCGTAACACAACGAAGTTGAGGTAACGCCCATGTGCTTGATTTTTCGTCGCCTGCTTGTCTGTTCCATCGAGATCTCAGCCCCTTACCTAGAGGGTTTTCGCTAATTGACAGCTGCTATGGTCTATATTTGCCCGTTACTCCTCATCTACAGTTGTGTTACGCGGAATGGGTTTTGAAACATTTGTTTACTCTTTCTTCATTTAAGTATATCTTCTGCACACCTTCTCTTTTTGCATCTTCGTTTACGCCTTCTGCATACAGCAGTTATGCTATCTTTGCTCAACATTCACAGTTTCTTCGCGTGTCGTTCGCGTCTTTTTCACACCCTTTATATTTACCCCCTGGAGACCTTGTTTATGCTTTATTATCGCTCCTCTTCCCTTTACGCATCTTTTGCCATGGTTTCATGTCTTCTCCATGACCCTTATGTCTTCCTCCTTAACACTTCCTTACTCTAGTTTCTTCTCCTGGTCTCTTTCTTTTACGTCTGCACACACTTACTTGACGCCTTCTTGTGTTCTTCCAACTGCATTAGTTTCCTACATTTCCTTGTGACTCGTTCACATCCTCGGTTATGCGTTTATTCTTTTCGTATATCCTCTTCAGACCTCGTTCACGCTTCCTATACGCCTTTTTCAAAGCTCTCTCATTCGTCCTTCATAATACCCCTTGAATTTTTTCTTCGTAGTGCATATTCTTTTCGCGCATCCTATTTTTCACTGCTCCTTCTAGCCTCCACGCTTCTTTATACCCCCCTTCAGACTCACTTTTAGAATTTGTGCCTCACAGATCAATATTACTCCTTGATCACGCCCCCCTCATTTCCGTAATTCTCGACTGAAGTAACTATGGGATTAATCTAGCAGAATGCTGGTAGTTATATCGCGTATACATATACAAACTCTAGTGCAAATTAAATTAATCGAAACGCATCATCCAATTGTTTCCTTTCATTATGCCTTCTTCATATCGTTTGCTCCTTTCTTCTTTACTCTGCCACAAACTGCCTCCGCTTAGCACCCAGGAACATTTTACCTACTTTGGGAAATACCTATTTAGCGTTAGATGCCGCAACGTGTTGATTGACAATTTCCAACAGATTCTTATATGGACCCCCAGGGCCACAACAACGCGAGATGATTGGAAATTAACGACTGAAGCTTCCGTAACGTAACATATTCACTTCTTATTCTTTCTGAGCATTGCACCAGGATAATCGAAACTAAATAAAATATTTGTTGACCCTTCCGTATAGTGTTCTTCAGAATTCTTCAGTTAAAATAAAAATTATCCCATTAACTTGCTCCCGTTACAATATCGGATGAAGGATCTCCAAAGTCGACGCGCTGCGTAACGGTAGCGTTTATCGACGAACAGACTTCCACTCTTATCGCTTTCACTAAAATTAAATGTTAGACAAACAGACTTGCTATACTCAGCATTTGCACAAATCAGACACACAGGGCTTTCATTTCAAAACGAACCACCGATTGAAATTTGTAATTAAAAAAAAACCGAAATTGCAAAATCACATAAACTTAGATAGCTCTGATGAGGACGTTTAAGGGAGGTTCGCTCTAGTTTTAGCATTCATTCCCCACCCTGAGCTGTCCCTACTTTAAAATCTTAATATACATACTCCTTCGAGTAACATATTATTTTAAAAGTCATAAAAGTCTCTAAAAAAAACCTACAAAATCAAATTTGGATGGACGAGTTAATTTTAAGAAACCAAGACAAGATACATTTGAAACAAATTTCACACATTTCACGTTTTAATTGTATAAAATTATTATTAAATTTGCAAAACGGTCTCCATTAGTACCCAGACAACAATACAGTCTCTGTTGAAATTCTTCAGGAAAATTAACAAATGTGCCTCTTTTCTATTTTCTCTACAATTCTACATTCATATGTTATTCTGTGACCTGGCTCTTGAATAGGTATTGTCAGGTTAGGTTTAGAGGGAGTCATATTTTTTTTGTTACAGAAATATGAATAATACCAAATATAATTTACCATTTTTGAAAAATTGCGACATAATAAAGATAACAGGTGAGAAAAACTAAGATTCGCACGTTCGTTTAAAATCCCATTACTGCAGTTTCAGTGCAAGCAATGCAAAGCTATGTAGGGGAGTCTGTCTGTAAATACGATAACTTGTAAACACTCAGATGGATTCGGTTCAGGCTTTGCCACATGTACAAACCTAATGAAAATGGGCCAAATCCAATGACCCCTTAGAATCACACCGCTTTGCCGTTTTTGTAGATCCGATTTATACACAATTAATTGCATTTTTCCATTGTAACAACTTCCTGAAGTCCTTTTTCATTAGCAGTGACTTTCTGTCTTACAAAATTGCTGTTATGATTGTTCTCATTGAAGTGTACATTTTTTGACTAATTACAGGTAGCTTGCTGTGATGGAGACGCGAAGGAAACACTTTAATTTATATACACTGTGTCCAAGATAAGGGTGTCTATCATGGGGATCTCCGAAATCATAGAAGATACGACGATAGTCGAGTTAGAGAAATGTTGCGCAATGAAAGAGTTATTATCATGCTGTAAAGAAAACCGGAAAATTCCGATTACTTCAGAAGATGTGCCAGGTAAAAGTTGGAAACTCTATTGGTTTCAACAGGATGGTGCATCCGCGCACAACGCCCTAATCGTGTGATAGTCATATCGGACAAATTTCTTTGAAAAGGAAACATTTCCCCGATAACCATCCTGCAACAGATGACCAAACGCAAACGATCACTAAAAAAACGTCGAATTTGTAAACTGGGGGAACAGTATTGAATTTTCTATTTGGGATTACTGAAAAACGATCCAAACGAAGGTATTTGGTGGGAAAGCATGCGCAATCTCAGCGGAATTGTGAAAACGGGTGCTTCTTAAAATGGTGCATGCCTTTAACCTTTCTTTAACTTTGTTTGACAATACGTCGTTATTTGGTATAGGTATTATTAATGCAGCAGAGACAGTTTTCACCACATTTTCATATTCGCCTGCAAAGTATGTATTTTAGGGTGTTCACTACTTGATAAGTTAACTGTTGAGCTAAATTCCACCATTATTTACAAAATATCCAACAAAATCCTGAAGATCTGTACAATTTGATTACGAAACTACTTCTCCACTTTACAGGCGGAAGTCTTTTGATAATTAAGAATTTGTTTACATCATGGACAATTGCATCACATTATCGCTTGAACTTTCTTCTAATTATACTATCATTATAAAAGTCTGAAATAATAAGTCAGGAAATAGTATATTGAAAGACAAGTGTTACAATGCGACCTATTGTAATACGACTATCTTGTGGCACGAGTGGCGACGCGAAGCGTAGCCACGAGTGTCCGCAAGATAGGAGTATTACAATAAAGCATGGTAACACGCGTTTTCCATACTATTTTTTCTATTTCGGTGCTTTAATTTAATTAAAAAAATCATTATCAGAAACTATAGGGAACATTAGAACTAACATGTTTTATGTTGGGAACACTTTTTATGCCGTTAAGTTTTAGGTTGGGAGCGTAGTAAGACTGACATTTTGAAGTTCAAACATGGAAGTACCCAACGAAGTACCTACTTGTACTAACTAGTAACTGCCAACTTAAGAGATGAATTACCAAAAAAAACGACTATAATCACTGTCTTTGTACAACTGTTTTCGGCCGAAAACAGTTGTACAAAATCATCATTGTGACACCGAAATAGAAAAAATTCCTTTTGTCCTGGTGGTTTAGCTTTAGAGCCCCGGCTTGCATCAGGTCAATCTAATTCAATCGTCTTTATTTCATCGATCTGGATAAGGGTTTGATATATAAGCAAGTATAGTAATACTTTAGATGGGAGTACAAAGGTAATAGATGGAAGAATTTCACTTTTGGTGCAGCTTTGGTACAAAGATAGACTTCTACAAACTCTTCGTGACATTTTGGTAAGTGAAATGCATTTAACAAACCAGAGTTTGTGTAATGTAATGTTTAGTATTTTCAATAACACAAGCTATAATCCAAGCAGTTACTGTAGGTATCTGCAAATCTTTCCTATATGGCATGATTCCATAAAGTGCATTGACATGTGACAATGTGACTTTACGAGAATAATCGTTGACTTGATCAAAACCCCAGAGGATTGATTGCTAAATAGCTTCAGAAACTACAGCAAACTATAGATGTTGGTAACCCGCTGCACTTTTCCAAGACACATTTTGGTTAACTAATTCTCTACCCATTCAGCCCCTATTAAATAGATGAAAATAACAAAATTAGCTGTAACTGGTAAATCTACAAACAGTATGATGAAATACTCAGACTTGGTGCGAATATCCAGTACCTATTTAAAATTTGTACTTATTCCATCTTCGTCTGAATTCGAAAACGACTGGTATATAAGCGCAAAAAGATAATCGATGTAGTGGGTAATTAAAAAAAGTAGATCAATAGCAAGTAATAATGAGTTCTGGGTTAAGTGGATCATTTGGTAAATAAAAGAAATTCCCGCGTAATTTTTTCGGTAAAATATTCAAAATTTGTACTTACTTTTTAAATGTGTAATGTAAAGTATCCCGCGCACTTCATAACAATATAATTGACACTATAACGAGCACCTTTGAAACGTAAATGAAGTCTTTCACCGGTCTTCGGCGTCTTTAGACCTCTAGTTTCGCGACATCAATTCGCTAAACGTAACAATATCCCACTCCGGCAATACTTACCTACTTACTGCAACTGCACTTCAGGTCAGTATATTATCTTATAGACTTACATCTATTGTGCTTTAAGTTTTTAATGAATTAAAAATGCTTACATCTATTCGGTGCTTTGATGCAGTTTTTAATGAATTAAAAATGCTAATAAAGCAACTGGTGCATTCTCGCCCCGTTTCTACAGCTTAAGCGCCGGTTTTAATGTTAACCCTCTCTTTTATGCTTGACCGTGCGCAACAATTTCTAAAGTATAATTTTTGGCTACTACATCTAATAATATTATGAGGTAACTGACCAAAAGAAAACATAGTATATTTACCGTTTGATAAATAAGTTACCTTGCAATAGCCCGGTTGTGAAAGTTTACTTAATAAGGTACCATTATTTGCGATATTTATTAATCAGAAAACGTTCTCTTCTGAAACGGAAAGAGCGCGTAGTACTTGGCTTTTTTTAAGAGCTGATATTCCGGTGTTGGGTGTGGGAACGATATTATCGTCCGGATTATATAAATTGAAATTAGGTAGGTACTTTGCTCGAATAGGATATCGTAGTTGCATAATAAATTTTACTGCCGTTTCGCAATAAAATTCAAAATCAATTTTATAGAAATAGAGGTAAGTAAAGGTATGCCTATAGAAATTGTGTAAGTGCAATTACAGCAGGTACCTGCATGGCCAGTAGGTAATTATTGATGTCGCATTTCCATATATTGTTAAAATTGTTTGATATTTATACCCAGTCATTAGGTTTAGTAACAATTGGTAGGGGTGGTTGATACCTTAGCTCCTTAGATCATATACCTACTTATATTGTTAATATGTATTATCTAAGGTTGATACGAAAATCTCTGATAATAGTCCAGGCAACGAATGAATATGCCCGGTATGGTTGGAAGCGGAAGGTTTGACTTCAGAACCTTGTTTGAACCCCTTAGGAGGTAACCATACTCAAAGTCCCCAGGATTCCGACTGGAGCCTTCCCGGGGGGAGGGGCGCAAAGGTCAACATTTTCTGTTTTTCGCTGATATCTTGAAAAGGGTGCGTCTAGGAAAAAATGTTTAAGAGCAAAATCAAAGCTCATAAAATTGTCTACAATTTTGATTGTATACACTTTTTCGAAATTCCCAACCGTTTCCGCGATATAAGCTCCAGAAGGCCGGAAATTTTTGAAAAATTGATTTTACCCACGCGTTTCGTCAAACATTCCTTATATCCTGTGAACCGATTATCTGAGAAAAAAGCCGCCGACGAAAAAGTTGTAAAACATTAAATTTCCTTTCCGAAAATATGGCTCCTTTCCAAATTATCGTAATCAGTCAACAGTTACAGCAGTTTTAAGATTTCCTGAAATTTTTCATCATCTTCTATATGCAACAATTTCAATGATTTGTCACCTACACTCTTGCTATTTTCCATTTTAACTTCTATTTATGATATAAGGACAATAAATGGGCACCCAAGTGGGTAAGATTAAAATATTAAAACATCGACCGTTCTAACAGATTGTGACAAATACAAGCAAATGCTAATTTAACAATGAAACACATTTGATTGCATTTATTTCAGGGTGGCCACTTTTTTTGCCAGTCAGTGTACATACATATCAACGGGATTTTGTGTCGAATAGAAAATACAATTTGTTGTATGGTAAGATACACAAACACATAAACTTTACACGAACAACATGACTAATGAAAGTATTGGGAACCGCTGACCTTTAGGTAATTGAAAAAATGAAAACTATTGTTCTATCATTTTCAAGTTTCCATAAGGTTTGTTTTGAGAAAATCTCGGCCGTATAGAACGGGTTTTTGTATTGACTTCAGGTGCATATTAAATACAACTACTATCGGTCGCGTTATGAACTGCTTTTGATTTACGACTTATGGCCTTAAATGACTTACATTGATGAGCGTACAGACTTAAATGTTAAAATGGAAAATAGCAGGTGCGTAGGTGAGAAATCATTGAAATTGTTGCATATAGAAGATGACGAAAAATTTCAGGAAATTTTAAAACTGCTGTAACTTTTGACCGGTTAAACGATAATTTGGGAAGGAGCGATATTTTCGGAAAGGAAATTTAATGCTCTACAACTTTTTCGAAGGCGGATTTTTTCTCAGATCATCGGTTCACAGGATATAAAGGAATGTTTGATGAAAAACGTGAGGTAAAAACCGATTTTTCAAAAATTTCCGACCTTCCGGAGCGTATATCGCGGAAACGGTTTCGAAAAAGTGTATACAATCAAAATTGTAGACAATTTTATGGGCTTTGATTTTGCTCTTAAAACAATTTTTTCCTAGACGCACCGTTTTCAAGATACCTATCAGCGAAAAACAGAAAATGTTGACCTTTGCACCCCTCCCCCCGGGAAGGCTCCAGTAGGAATCCTGGGGACTTTGAGTATGGTTACCTCCTAAGGGGTCCAAACAAGGTCCTGAAGTCAAACCTTCCGCTTCCAGTCATACCGGGCACACCCCCCTTTTAGCACTCGTTGCCTGGACTATAAAGTATGAAGAACAAACAAAACCCCACCATCCTTGCTTCCTTCTTATATGCTGTGCCATGCATTAGACATATATATTTGATATTCCTAGTTCTCTATACTTCAGAGCTAACCACTTTATCCATCGGCATGATCGATGAAAGATCCTTAAAATGTAAGGAGGTATACTGTCTCCAACTAATTCCTATACTTACTTTCCTTACTTATAAGTATAAAGAGTGGTAGGTACTCTTTGCTTATATGTTGCTGCTGAAATGGGTACCACAGAGGCGGACAGATCCTCATTACGGAATACCAAGCTGACTTTTTATATTAAGATAATCAGTGGAGGGGTAAACTGTAGATATGATAAACTGGGAAAAATATTAGAAATATCAATACCTTACTTATATTTACAGCAATCGTGATCAGTCCTCTACTTCAGCCGTCCTGCGCAAATACCGAAGAACAAGGATTTTCGCGATGAAGATGAAGGCTGAAAGCTAGCCTGGTATCTTAATTATATTCCGTTCATTTTTTATTGAAGCATGGTGGTTCCAAGCTTTTCTCTACCGTTACTGTGTACTGTTACTTGAGTCGATTAAGAAAATTGGAAGGCTTTGAGATTCGATTTTCTTAATCTTTGATGAACTTTTTCACGTGCATGCACTCTCCCTGCTGTACTTTTCCGGCGGCATTCTTCCAGCTGAACTCTTTCCAGTACATTCCCCTCGCGGAATTCGCCCTCCTGCACTCTTTCCGTTGCACGCCTCCCGCTGTACTCTGCCCGTTAAACTCTTCCCGATGCAATCTTTCCCTCGCACTCTACCCCGGAAAGATAGATGTCACTGCTTGCATTCTTTTCTCCATAGCTGCAAGCTGTAAGTATAGAGTAAGTCAAGATTGCAGTACGGAACCAGGGACCTCTCTAAGATCACTTTAAATGTATATAGAGCTACTGTATCAGTCTCCCTCCCCCCTTCCGCGACCCATACATATACTACAATAACAGCGTTCCAGGCAAACACAGGCGAGACTCCCACCGAAGTGCTGAGTAAAAATGAAGCGTCAATATATTTGAACCAAAAACCGGGGTTATGTGTTAAACAGACCTAACAGAGCAGCCTATTCACCAGACTGAGGCGTTACAAGTGTACGCTTGACGCTCACAAAGTAGCGTTGAGCGAGTCGTTATCAGACATTTAGGGTAGCGCTCGTGAAGCGGTTCACCTGGTGAACGCATTCAACGTCAGTATAATCGGAAATTGCACATTCAACCATCACGCTGGGACTAGTAAACAAATAAGTGCTGGTGACGCAATACACGCTCGGTCTGGGAGTGTCGAATTAACCAACCAAAGAGAGGATGCGCTTTACGACTTGAATAATGCCTTGGGTTCTGTAAAATGGAATGACCCACATTCCAACCTCACCTTCCAGACAGTGAATTGCACGTTTTGGATCGGCATAACCGCTAGCCCAAATGTACCATCTCCTCAGGATACTAGAGGAGGATTCCCTGATCGACCATTAATCAATTTACTAAATTTTCCACTGATGCAATTTATAGGGACACAAAATATTACGTCCTAAATTTATATTAAAAAAATCAGACTGGTGCAAATTCAAAAAGATACTGCCAGTCAAGATTCAACGATGGTATACTAGGAGTCTGTGACGCACAATATGATGATATGCAAAGAGGCTGGCGGCGTGGGTCCAGAATACAGTTCTACCTATTGCAAAATGCTGCATGCTGTATAAGAGCGCGTGAAGGTGGAGAAGGAACAACATATTTCAGTTGGTGGGAGAACAAGCTGGCAATAAGTCTCAGAGAATAGACGGAATCCCTATAAGGATTGAGTACGAAACCTTTTGAAGGGAGTACCAGACTAAAATGAAAAAGAAAAACATACACGTTTCAAAAACTCTATACTTGACTCAGTGGTGTAGTGCCAAATTTAGGAGTGCCGGAGCCCTTAAAATGCAGGCAACCAATGGTATCGAATACACCCCCCACCCCAAGCAAAATTGGGGTCCAGGAAAATTTTTAAAAATTTGCAGTAAAATAAATGGGTTTTGAAACAATTTCAGTTCGTAGATTTTTGAATAAATTATTGCTCTAAAGGTGTAAGGCTTATCTAACTCGCAAATATCATTAGTTATCATCACTTACCTTATCTCCGTCTCCTATCCTGTGCCGGAGCGCCGCTCCCCTCTCAGAAGCAGTGCCGCTCCGGCTCCACTACACCACTGACTTGACTCTTAGTCCGAAACCAGCCACCCAGTCAAAAATGTATGGACCACGTCAAACGACGAAACCATCGCCACCCTAATCCACACGTAGGTAGTCGTATATTTGTCTAAAAATCCCCGTCTGGGTGAAGGGGAAGAGACGGACCATTACATGAACGGAGAGTCAGGCGATTTTCTCCCTCGGCAAGACATTAGAGAATTAATAATAGAAACCAACCCTATTAATAAGACGGCGGCGATTGAATCGTGCGCACTATTAGTGGACGGTGCTTTAAACCTACGTTTAAACGTATTTCGAAAAATGAGCCGTTTTCCAAATATATGGCAAGCCGTAAAAACCGTCGGGATCCCAAAAACTGGAAACAATATGGGGGTTCGCCTAGTTTCTTTCCAATAATGGGGAAAATACTGCACAAGTTAATAGACAGGGGAAGTCAACACAACCATGAGAAGTAGGAACACTATAGGTACTAGGTACAATCAATACGGATTCAACATTAGTATAATTATGTTGAGAAATGTACGACTTATTTTTTGCAATTACGAGTATATTTAGGATTGCCTATACATTAAAAAAATGTGCTATCAAGTATTGGGCTACATGTCGATAGATAGGTTTTATGTTTTGTTTATATACCTAACTGGTAACTACTTATAATATTTCTCTTAATTTCCTGGTCTCATACGGTGCTTTATTTGGTAGTGAAATGCTGTGAAATCCTGATGGGGTTTTCTATCGTAGGTACACACCTCAAACCTATGTTCAATCGATTTACTACCCTGTTATAATCTCCCTTCTGAGAATAAATTCAAGAAGCGCATTGAATTATATATAGTAGAGGGGAAAGTTTTCCTTGAGTGTCATTTTCTTTAATATTTTCCCATGGAGGGTGTAAATATGTTCTACGTTTCTAGGGTTTCAATCTTCTTCTTCAGAGGTGAATATATATAGTTCAGACCAACGCCGCACTATTAGGTTGCACAGCATTTGCCAATTGCTAGATGGGGTAGGTATAGTTTTGAAATGGAGATTTAGTTTCATCCTGCACTTTGTGAAAAACTTTGGACCCTCTTTTTTTTGGCATCTGCACCTAAAATAACGATGGATCAGCCTGTATGTTAAATTTGAATTATTTTTAACCGTAAATGTAGTTATTAATTTGGGATTGAACACAGAGTCGATCATGGTAATTGAATTTGATATGATTTTGGTTAAGAATTAATTATGTTTATATTTGTCGTATTTGGATTTTATTTTATTATTCATTTAGAAATATTAGAGATAAAGTTATCTCATTTAAATCCGGTCGTTGCCGTAAGAAATTTGTTATCGTTGTGTTAAGCTAATTACTGTCAAGATATGCAAATTTCTGATAAGAAAACGCAGGTGTTTGACTTTGAAGAGGTAAATTCCAGTAGAGAAGACGCGGAAACAGAAAGGAAGAATGTTTTAAAACAGCAGAGGAAGACGTTCCGGATTTGCTCGTTTTTGTGATGGACGTTAATTGTTGCTTGTTTGGTGGTGTACGTTAATTGTTTTGTTTTTTGGTTCGGCAATTAACTTCCAGTTATATGGGCGATATCTTTAATCTTTCTGTTGCATTTGCGACAGAGGTTGGAAGTCGAGTCGACTCTCACTCCGGGTACACTTGCCTGACGGTATTGTCAGTGTTTAATTTAATCGCCGCTAGAAAGGCATGCATTGACTCTAACTTTTTGTTAATATGGCTGCCATCCAGTTATTTGGTTAACGAAACCACATTGGTTGCAATTACCTATTCAGGCCCGCAAGACTGAAACTCGTGATTTCCCGTCTAATTACTCAATATATATTTGTCGCCAGTTGCCTATGGAGTTCACACCCCAGTGTCGCCTTTAAATATGTATAAAAATCATCTCACTTATTAGAAACCTTTTGGGAACGTACATGAAAGCATAGTGTTAGCTACAGTAGTGAAATTGATTTTGAACTGTTGCTAAGGTTTTATGAGGACTCATCTATTACAATGTACCTAGTGTTGCTTCCATGTATTTCTTCTTCATTATAGATCCAGTTGACTTAGGTAGGTACATATGACTCGAGTGTGCAATTATTCTGTTTGTGGAACAAATTGATCCTCCATTTTAATTTTGCAATGATTTGAATGACGTTTGGTTATTAGTAACGCTTCCTGTAATACCAATTGAGTCAAAGTAGTATTGATGATTGTCATATTGTTTGAGGATTCGAAGACCGGGATTGCTGCGCCGATGTTATTGTACCTTCTTTCCGTTACGAAATTGCATTTATTCAAATTTTGCGCATACACTGTCGGTTCAGGCAACTTCAGTAAAAGATCGGGCTATTCACAGAAATTTATAAAATTTCAAAATTGTTTGAAAGATTCTGTCTTGTGAAAAAGGGAAGGATAGAAAAAAGTAGATATAGAATATAGTCAATTATTTTTAACTACAAATACATTAATAAAGTTAAAGTTACAGGCAGTAAAATTTCTGTAGCTACCCTGTTTTAATATTGAAGTATTTATAGTATCATACTAACTGAAAATGTAAATATGTACAGGGCGGAGCAGTATTCAAATCATAAAACTCTTGCCTTACACACATTACACATATTTCACTTCAGAGAGAAAAAAAAGGACTTAAATATAATTAGTCGCTTAACAAGCCACCGTAAAAGCTGGGAAACACCAAAGTCATTTGTATATTTGGGCCATTGTGCGAGTTAAAAAAGTGATAGTTGTGTATCTCATCAGCTCACAGTCACTTGTAGACAAATAACAATAATGGTTTTCAAAGATGCAAGTGGTCAATAAACAATTTGAATTCTTTTCGAAAACCATCAAATCACAAAAAAAAGGAATCTTAAAAATATTATAAAATACAAAAGTATGTAATAAATACTGCTCAATAAATTTAGTTATTGATTACATCAACACTTAAAAATAGTGAAAAGGTTGAGAAAATAATCAAAATATAAAATTAATCACAGACTAAATCCATGACATAAAATATCTATAAAAAAACCACAATTATGATGATTATATATAGTATGTAGTAAATGGACAGTCTTAAATGCTACACATTCAACACGATTAAATTTGATTTGTTGGTAAGTAGAAACTAAGCTTACAAGTCAGTATCATACCAAGCTGCGACTTGGTTGTTATCCTGGGGAGGAGTGGGTAGTTCGTTCATAGGGTCAAAATTAAGCTCGGGGTCTGCACTGCCAACATCCATTGCGTCCATATCCCTCCCAATTTCTAAGCCTTCCATATTTATTACTGGTATCTGGTACCCTACACAAAAATTGCAACATTGCATTTAGGCGTGTAATGTTTGGATTTGTAACAAGCCACGTTAAACATCAAGTTAAAATGTTACGTGGTTAGTGCTGTCCATTTGGTATGGCACGGTTAGTCTCATACGACTGTAATTTACCACAGCAAACATGCAAGTACAAGAAGTACTAAACACTAAAGCCAACATGTCGTTTTAATACCATAAAATTATCTACAGCAAAAGACAAATCGCCTATTGTACCTTGTATATATAGAAGCTACTTTGTAAGGTAAGTTAGTATATTAAAGGAGAATGGCAAGGTAATTTTTAAAAAGTTGCTCATTTACCTTTTGTGTTATGCATTCCGTGAAAAGTTAATTATAATACTGTACCTTATTTTATTAGTTGTTATTTTGTAACAGTCGAAATATGGTTAACATTGATAAACTTACCTTCCTGCTGATACTGTCTGCCTCCGTGACTGCTGTGAACGCTAGGGGGACCTTGTGCATACATGCCATCGTAAGCCTGATCAGGACTCAAAATATCCTAATAATAAAACGCAAACAACACAAAATAAAAAAAGTGCACAAACCAAAACTGTTGATAAAAAAATTCATTTAAGTTCTACAAAATGATAAAAATCCACTAAAGGAACGTACATCTGCTATCACATACTTACCAAACAAGAAGCAGAAGCAAATTCAACCAATTTAAAAAAGAAGAACTATTAAATTACCTGAAGATCGGGCGCCATTCCCAAGTCTGCATTCCATAAGTTATCCTCGCGGAATAGTGAGTTGGTAAGTTCCATTGATAATCGCTTTTTATAATCCTGAGGTTTATCTTCGCTCATTCTAAATAAAACTGCCGCTGCATAAGTTGCAACACCTAAAGTAAAGTCGTATTACGCAAGACGAGAACGCTCGATAATAGTACCTTCATTTCGTGAATGTAAAAGTTCTGTTAAAGGCGCCGTTGCACCTTCTTGCTCGATCATTTCGGCACCTTCTTTATCCGCCGCTAACTCGCAAAGCACGCCTGCAGCGACGCGTTGTATGTTTTCTATGTCGTTAAATAAGAGTTGAACAAAGATAGGTATAACCATTTGTTGACGTATAATGGCGCGGTTGTGGGATTCACGAGCCAATATGTGTAGAGCCCCAACTGTCCCTTCGACAATTTCCTCCATTCGAACACCGTCAGCATAAGCACCAGGCTGCTGACTGCCTCCGCTTGCAACGCTAGCTCGCTGCAAAGTGGGAATAAGTTCGCATTTCAGTGGTGCGACAGAACTTACTCTCTGGGTATCTTGGAAGGCTCGCATCAGAAGCTGAACCAGGTGATGTATTGCTCCGTGTTCGCGTAGAGGCGAGTGATTTGCCGCGCATAACGCTAAATTACGAATTAACCCGATCACTGCCTTAACAAGTGGCCAACGCGACGGTGGATTGAGCAATTTAACGATCACTTGAATTCCGTAATTTAGTCTCACGGCATTTTGTGCCATTTCCGCTTCAACATGCCTTGATGTTAAGTGACGCAAGGCGCACACCGCCGGTTCGGTTATTTCCTCTCGGTCGCCGGCGGATATAATTGTACGAACGAGCGCGTCAACGCCACCTACTTGGCACACGGTCACTTTGTTGCGCTGGTTATTGCAGGTTAGATTGGAGAGGATACCGGCCGCGCATGTCACGACGTTTACGTCCGACGACGCCAGAACTTGCACTAATGACTGAAGCAGACCTTCCAAACCGTCGACCTTCGTCGCGGCGTCAGACAGGTTGCGTAGCGTCCAAAGGCAGTTTTGCACGAGACGCTGGCTGGGGTTGCCTAAATGCATCGCGAGCGCTTGCATGCCGCCCGCTTCGACAATTGCTGGTTTGTTGCTTGAGCACACGGAAAGAACCTGAAGAAAATGTTTGTCAGTTGTGGATGGAGTGTTATTTCTTGTTGCTAGATTATTATTATTATTATTAGCATTTTAAAACCAATCCATGGAGATATCCATTCAGAAATCTTCGATGGACACTGAGTGGCTGGCTTGGCAAATTTGACTCAAATAAACTTATTGTCAACATTTTAGAAACAATGCTTGACAAATGAAAATGTTGATTTTGCGCATACGCGTCCTCCATGTTTATCATGCCGGACAAGACAATAAAACGATTATTTATTTCAAGTAAACTCAATTTTTTTACGTGATCTTCATGCCTTGATGAACAACCCAAATGTCTCTTCCACTTTGAAATATACATAAGGTCACATCATTGTGAGTACCCTTCTCGAACGACAACTAGACCATGAAAAGAAGAGATACCTAGACACCTACCTCATCTCTTTTATGAATAGCAACTGTCACCTGTACCAAAATTCAAAGTAAAATTATCTAGGGGGGGAGGGGTGGTGTCCTGAAAGAGGGTTAATCTGATTGTACGAATAGTAGAGTTCAGCCAATTTATATGCTGAAAACTGCCCAATGAGATTTCTTTGTTTGATAGTACTGATGTGCATTTAAAAAAACAAAAAAGCAAAAATTGTATTAGTAATAAGAACAAGGTTTTACCTTTAAAACTCTGGATGTAGTCCACAATAACTTTTCGTAATCGTAGGACCGCATAATTCTAACGAGTTCGATTGGTCCCTGCGAAGCGAGGATGATCAATTTACTCTCTTGATTGCCGTAAGCGAGAATTTGCAAGCAATCCGTAACAATGGCCAAGAATTTTACGTTGTTTCGCTGCAATAAAGCTACCATTTTTTGTAGCCCGCCCGCCAGTCGCACTGCCATTTTTGAGCCGTCCTGGTGCAAAAGTAGATTGTGTAATGTGGTGATGGCGTAGAATAAGACGCTTTCTACAGGCGAGCTGAGCAGTTTCACCAAAGCGGGTATTCCGCCACTTTTAAATATTGCGAGTAAACCTTGGCGGTGATGTGATAATTTGTGTAGAGTGCCCACCGCCCCTTTAGTGGTTTCCAAATCATTAGAATTCGAAATCGCACGAACTAATGCTGCAACCATTTGAGGGCTGTTCATGATGGCGTGCCGCGATGCTTCCTTCTTCGATAGTTGGTGAACCATCATGGCAGCCTGGGACACAACCACTTGATCTTCGTCGTTCAGCAGTTTGATCAATTCGGGAATAGCTCGAGTCGCTAAGTCCGCATCATCCTGGTAGTTTATCAAATTGACCACGGCATGCTTTAACATCTGGCTCGGTTCGGCCAAACGTTGCACAGCCGTTTGGTGTTGTGGATCAAACTGCGTCGAGGGTATCTCAATACCTTCCTCGAGGGTTTCCGGAAACATGGCCGCTCGAACTCTTTGCGAACGAGTCTGATTCAGCTGGTTATTCATCTCTAGAGAACTACATCGTAGCAACCTTTGAGGGAAGGTGTAAAAACTTACCATCAACCTGATCTTGAGTGAATTGCTGAGTGAAACCTTGATCGAGGTCGAACAGATCCATTTCTTCGTCTTCTTTCCCACTTAACGACGGCACCTGCGTCGCCGCGCCGGAATGAATTCCAGAATCGCCCATGTAGGAATTCTGTTGCCACATGAGCGTCTGTTCTTTGGACGACCCCATGGGCAGATCGCCGGGGCCTTGATAGTTATTGTGGGACACTGTCAAATAAATATATTGTAATACAAAGAACAGACGGGCAAAACAATCAGAAAAGGTGAACAAACTGGCTGACTGTAGTATCATGAACTCGTGGGTATTTTTTTAAATTCCCTTAATGGTCAGTCGCGCCACTGAGGCTAAGGGAGGGGTCAGCTTACATCCGTTTTAATAGGGATATAGTATTATATTACATATCTTAGAAAATCATTAAATAAAGTCAACGCCGAATTTACTGAGCGTGTAGGTTTTGAATTGAGGGGATTTTTAACAGCCGTCGGGATTGGTAGCACAAAAGACACTAACTAATGGGAAATTAGGCATCGGCATTTTGAAAAAAATTCGCCACTGGTGGGTGTAAAAAATTTACTCAGTAATTAAAGAGATCATTCAGAGTTAAATTAACAGATACCTAGATGAAATCTCTCAGCGGACGAGGAGAGATCGCAAGATTTAGGAAAAAGGGAATTTAGATTTTCGGTGTGAAAAATGTTTGTTAGTTGTTTAGTTTCTGAACGATAGTTTTGAACAATGGCAGTTTAGAAAATGTAATCTCCATGGTCCACTATTTAAAAACTATAAAAAAAAGGGTTTTACTTTTGGTTCATAACTAAAATCTAAAAAAATATAGGTTGTGATAACTTCAATGTAATCAGGATAAGAACGCAACAAAATTGACGTTAAGATATACAAGGTGTTGCATTTAAAAAATGCCTACTTTACACCAAATTTCAGAAATAGATAAAAACATTTTTTTTACTACTTCCGCCACTGGCTACGTGAAAATTTGTAAAATAGCCTTTTTTTTAAATTTTACATAGGTAGCAACATATGATGACATCCCAAACTTTTCGTTTTCACCCTGCATCTCAGAAACAAACGTATATAACCAGAGTGGCAAAGTGGCACAAGATCGCGAAAACCGCAAGTCTGGTCTTGGTCTTAGATGACAGCGGTAATATTACAGAGGAAATAAGATAATGTCATAGATAATAATGAACATATAAATAATAATACATATATAATAATAAAAATCTATTGGTTTCAAAAATAGAAGAAAAGGAGAAATTTCAGAAACAAGAACTTTAGAAAATAAAAAGAAAAACAAACAAAAACAGTTTTAGATAAAAACAGAGACCAAGAAGATCACTAGGAAAACATAAAATAGAAAAGACAAATTGAATTGAAAAGAAAAAATTGCAAACTAATAAAAAATATACAGAAAGAAGCTTACATTCAAGAAATGACAAAAAAAAACGATGTAGAAACAGAAAAATTTACAAAGCAGGCAGAAGAACAGTAGCCATTTGGAGAACAAACAGAAATACCCACAGATTGATGTTTCATTTCTGGAATTACATTTTTATATACATTATTTTATTATACATTTTATATCAAACAAGTCCAGGTGACAAATTCCATGTTAGGAAATCATTTTAATCCTCATTCAAAGGAAGCAACAAATTAGTTTTGCCTTTAAGTAAAAATAACATACTATTGGAAAAGGGCGCATGCTTCATTTATTAAAGATATAGTGTTAAAATTGACCCTAAGTGTAAAAGGAGCACCTTATCCTTCCCTTAAACCAAAACAATTGTATAGGTATTGCATTTCCATATTATTGTCTTTATGTTCTTTTTTTTTCGATATGTTACAAGAAATAGATAATTACATTTAAAAAATATACATTACTTTATTTATTATTAATATTTTTGTGTACCTACCTTAAACGCTCTCTTAAACCTAAGGGTTATCTATATATTTCCACTATTTAAAACTACAGAAAAATAGTATATTATATACCAAGGGACTAAAGTGTGTTTTAATCCAAGGGGAAAATCTTCGTGTCAGAAAACAAACAGGGATAAGGACGCACGTTGGTCCTGTGATCTATCTGTGATAAAAAGCGACACTTTAGTCTCTTAAATGCAAGACAAAACACGTTGATTAAGAACCCGGAGTATAGCAACATACATATTGACTACTATCTACCTATAGTAAGTCGTTAAGTGATAGTAACAATAGCCCTATACCGAAACACACAAACACGAAACTCCGCTTATTTGAAGCAAATACAATGAACAAGCCCAACGAGTAAAATACTTACTTGATCGATTTTGATTAGCCTGCATGTAACTCATGGTCGAAAGGTGATTAAACGATTACACCTGTAATAAGAAACAAATTAGCAGGGCCACTAGACAAGAGGACTACTACTATTTACACTAAGAATTTCGACAAATTACCCCTAAACCCATACTGAACTTTCCTTTACTCAACACTTTCGGCATTTAGCGAACTTTAGAGTGGCATTTTTAAGGGAAGTTTCCCTTATAAAAAATAAGAATGAACGTCCATGTTGTGCTTGAAAGTTCATCGACTTTTATTAATAACGTGAAAACAACCACCTGCGTTCGTCACTTTTTCAATTTTCGTTCTTGAGGCGACAGAAAAATGGTAGGCTTACCTTTCACCATAAAATTACACTTTTTATACAAAAAACAACGTTAGAACGAGATTTCGGAATGAATCACAATACACCGCACCCGATTCAGATTAGAATTCTTCTGAAGACGGTTTCAGTATGTACTCAAACACTTTAGTAGTTTAAAGGGTTTATTTTTCGTACAGGTTTAATTACAGAATTATAATCGTCTCATATTGCAAACTAGTACAACAGTTTACACAAATTATTCCAACGTTTATGAATTAAATGTAAAATTACATACTATTAAATTGTTATAGTGTAACAGCAACTTATTTACAGCCTAAGCAACTGGCGCCGTCTACCGGGAGTTACCAATTCGGAAGTACTAGAGTAAACTGGCAGGTGGCAGTGTGACTGCGGCGTGACCTGATAATGTTGTTGGTAAACAAGCTATTCCACGCACCCACGTACCTAAAAAAGGAAAGAATACATGCATCCACTTGTTCTTTTGTAATAACAATCGAAGTAAAATTGACATCAGGTACCTATCTAACAGAGTGTAACTGTTGCAATTTGTAAAATGTAAATGTTGAATTGAATAAAAAATTCAATGATGTTAGGCAGTAGGCACTAAAGTCTGATTGCCCGAGAAGTAGGGTTGCCTAGTCACAAGGTGATCCTTATAAGAAAGCGGGCAAATAGGCATTAGTGTCACGTAAAATCGGGACGAAATAACATAAAGAAGTTAGTATGTATAATTATTTTATGTCTTTGTATAGTATTATTTTTTAACAATTTTTTTTATTAATTTAATAAAATAATTATTTTATGTCTTTGTATATTATTATTTTTTAACATTTTTTTTTATTAATTTAATAAAATAATTTATCTTATACCAATTGTATTATTTCGATGAACGATGTCTTTAAAAAAGTGCTTTTCGATGTGATACAGTCTCGGATACAGTCATAAAAATTGCAAGACACTTCCTTATTGAAGTTAATATTGAATGATAAAAATACTAGTGTTAGGTACCAGTACCTAAACGGATTCGGTCATCGATTCATGAGTAGAAATATATACGTTCAACGTTAGCATGACCCGCTTGGTATAACACCCGATTGCAATTTCATCACTGCCATCTTCATCTTTATTTATTTGTTTACTTTTTTATTTATATATTGTAAGCCTTTTTCCATTTCACTCCGTTCAGGTACTTCCTCTAACGTGATCCAGGAAAAGTTTTCAAATTATTTTAAAGATTTTGTTCACTTTTCTATGTACCTAGTCAATATATCTACACGTTAAATAAAATGTCTTCGTACCTTCCGGGAACTGTGTTCTTACTCTTTCATCATTGAAGATTTCAAGCATGTTTTTCTTTGAAGAACAGTTTGCATTGACCCTCCACTCTAATTTTTGTGTCAATGGATACAGAATAGCAGAATAACAAACTTATTTCTTCTTTTGTTCATTTGTTAAAATAGAATTACTTATATTGGAATCGTAGGGAGAGATGGTGGCTTTGGCTTTATACAATCATGATCAGATTAGATCATTAAGAAATAGCCAATAGAAACAAAAGTTTATTCTGCGTCGCTAACCAACGATACCATATAATGGGGTCATCCCGCCTTCATTTTTTATTGCTGATCCACAAAGTACATTAAAAATAAAAAGACCCGTGTGTCCTCAATTTTTATTGGCGGGTAAAATAAACACAAAATAAATTATTGAAAAGCTGTGTTTTTAGTCTGAATTTGAAACGCTTCAGACTAAATACGTCACAAACCTACAACCAATCACGTAGAAGTGAGCTGGCAACCTTACGCGAGGGTCTGACGTTTGTCACATTTGACGTTTTGAGTGGGATGTTTAACTGCATCTAGCACGAAAGTGACAAGTGCCTGTGACAGATGACGCAAGTTATAAATGCCATTCTCCTGCAATATTGCCAAGTCGTTATGTCATCTGAATGGTTCTAGGAGCTGATTAGTCGGGCTTATTACGTCACAGCCCCCGCCACAATCATATCGTTTTGAATAAACCTTTAAAACCGCACATGTTCATTATTTTTTTGCTAATCAGCCTCTATTTTGAAATAAACTTTTACTGTCCAAAAAAATGTTTTATGGTTTCAGGTACACGCTTATTAAATTAGAACTGCGGAATTCAACTATACTGTAAACCCCCATTGTTTCTATTGGCCATTTCTTAATGCTCTAATGATAATGATTTTATAAACCCACCACAAGTAATATATGGTTTTCATTTGTTCTTTCAAACTTAGAAATTGCAACAGCTACAAGAGGGGAATCGGGTGCAGGTAATCCATTCTTTAAACATGTTCAAGATACCGTTCCACCATTACCTATCTACATCATCTTACCTCGTTCTGTGCAATAACATTCTGTATTACTTAAAGCTCTCATGTATACAGTGGTAACGCCACCGATTATTAAAATTTGTGTGCCTAAATAGGCGATTGCATGGCCATGCCTCGGTATAGCCATATCTGAGTGATGCTTCCACTGTAATATTGTGCTATCCCAAACGTCTATATCTGGCACACTGGTAGTCGTTTTGTCTTTTTCCGTTTTAAGCTTTCCAGCACCTCCAAGTAAGTACAGACGATCAGACATGCTAAACATACGACTAAAGCATCGTGGAAATCTTAAGTTTGTAATTTCCGTCCATCTGCAATGAGGCGATTTAATTCAATCGAAAAATCCGGGCACATACTGGTTCTTTTTAACGTCGTAACACTCGACCAAACTGGAGACGGGGTTATTCTTGGATCCCGACATGCCACCTGCAACCCAAATATAATTTCGAAACTTGCTACAAGCGATTCCCATTCGAGGATGTTGTAAAGGAGCTTGAAACTCCCATGCACCCAATTCCGGTTGGAATCTCTCCACAGATGCTAGAGTTCTACAATAATTGCAGGTGACGGCATGTAAAACTAATATTGATTACTATACCGCCCCTGCTTATCTTGACCTCCGATAGCGTAAAGGGTGTAATTACTCGTGATTAAAGCGAAATTCTTCCTTGCAGTATTCAAACTTCCTTCGTTAAACCATGCGCGCTTCACCGGATCAAAGCTCCAGGTGGTATCAACGACAACAGACTTTCCTTTGACATCATCATCTCTAGGATCGGCACCCCCTTAAGTGGCTCGGCGTGTACGTCGTCGAATTGATTAGGTACCATCAACTTACCACAAAGGTATACCCGTCCCTTCAAGAATGCAACACTGTGATGATGTCGTGGTTCTGGTAAAGCTCCAACGTATTCCCATTCGTTGCTATCGGGCAGGTATCGATACATGTCCTTTCCGGTATTACGCGAGACCCCGTAAGTGCTATGGGGATCGATTCCACCAAGTACCAAGACAGACTCGCGATCTGAAGAAAATAGGGACGAATCGCCTAGATAGTCTTTCGTTGTCGCCGACAAGGCGCTTGAACTAATTTCGTTTCTAAATGCAAACGAATTAATGTATTTGTATTAAGGCACTTTATTACCTACCTGCGTTGTGCAAACATAGACAAAACCTTGTAATTCCTTTGAGAATTCCATGGCACTCGAACTGGTAGGGCCGTTTGATATTGGGTGGTTAATGGTGAAGGTGTCTTAGTCCTATTCTTAGACGGCTCTAATATCGCTCTATTACGAAGACGTTTCACGCTTACGTTAGAAACATACTGTTTCAGCATTTCTCTTACTAGGTGGCCACGGAAAGCTGCCTGAATGGTAACGGCCGCCTCATGCCGACTTTTCTTCGGTGACTGTTTGTGAGATATCACTTCTTCCTGCAATTCTAAGTATCAGACATAAAGCTGGAGATGCACACTGAGTAAGGTAAGAGTTTGTGCATTGTAAGTGCAGATTTTTCTCAACAATGCAAAACTATTACCTTACAAGGAAAGGTGCACTTACTTTTGCAACTCTTACCAACTCAACTCGTCTTCCTTCATAAAATCAAAGAGAATAACCTTATGGGGATGAACATAATATATTTAACAAATATAAAATTCACTTTAATTGTCACACCACACACAAAAGTGTCATACGTTCCACTTCAATTTTTAGGGAATCACTTTTTGACCCTTGTCACCTACCGCTTTTCTTGTCGATAAGAATTCGTCCATCGTTGGTATTCGAGGTGCTCCTTTATCTACCTCTTGCTTCAAGTAAGTCTTGAGATCAGTCACCTGTTTACGGTCTTTCGGTTTTGACGTCTCCAATATCTGGTTTCTTCGATACTGATCTAGGTAAATCAGAAATTCGCGATACGTAAAGTAGGTCTTATCGGCACCGCTCCAATTTCGCGCGGGAGGTTCTTGTAAGCCTAACATGTTATTCCAACGTTGGTAGTCCTCATTTGCCTGCCCATACCAATACTTTATTATCACGAAGCTGTGCAAAGTTTTAAGTTCGCGAAACTAAGTTGCGGTGATACTTACGCCAATCCATCGTCTATCATTTTGCAAATTTCCGGAATGGAAGTGAGGCGCAGAAACTCTGGGTTCTCTGGGTTCCTTTTGATATCGACAAGCTGCCAGGGGGAGATATTTCCGAAGCGTACACATCCCATAATATCTAAAACGTCCTCTTCTCGTTCTTCCCATTTGTACTTCAACCATCTGATCGCCGACATGTATATTTCCATTTCGCTAAAAGAAACTGCTGTTAATTTCCGGGCGATCACTTGGTTCTTACCAGGTAACGCGGATGTAGTTGGAACTCAAAAAATTGACCACATCTTGTTTCTCTAAATCCAACCAGTCTTGGGAGCTGACGAGCATGAGAAAGAAAGACTGTATCCTCGGTAGCATTAACTCACGAACATCTTCCAAATCCTTGTTCTTTGCGTTCATGTACAACATAAATGCGGTACCTTCAGAGAAAACCTCTGTGTTATCGATGAAGGCCCAACATTGTTCCGTGAGATCTATGAGCGAAACTACAGTTGGCCAGACGACAGACTCCAATTACCTTTAATTTTCAAATATTTAGCTGCGTTGAATACATCTAAAACGGTGTCCCGACTCAGCTCCGTGTAGGCGGGCTCTCCAGTTATCATCCATTCGTAAATGAAACTAAACGCCTGCGCGCTTACTTTATCCTAATAAAGGAAAGGTTAAGAATTACACCAGCATGGTAAAACTGTTACCGAAGGCAGTTCAACTTTCTTTACAGAAACGTATTGATCGAAAATTTCCGAGTAACACTGAAGAACGATCAGGTGACACTGAAATTGTTCATTGCCGATGTAGACCTTACAGTCGGCGTTTCTGAAAAGGAAACAACCAATTGGCTCGTTGATTAGCTTCCGGTTGCATTTACGTGAGGTTGGTAATACGTTGGTATAATTCCAGGTATAAATTAGCTTTTTCGGGCAGCTTGACCAAGTGCCAATCGATTTGATCGGCAGCAGTGTGTCCCAATCTGTTTAGTGACATTTCCGGATCTAGAATTTGATCTGTTGCCTTCCCTTCATACTCGGCCGACTCCTTATCTTTGTGAGCAGGAGCCGTGCTAGCGATTAAGGATCCCAAACTTCCATCAAGAAAACAACCCTAAACGCTAAATGTGCATGGTATGTTGAAGTAGCAAAAGTCTCACTTGTCCCATGATAGATTCCATTGCTGAGCGTCTTGGAAACTCCTTGTCGTTGTTGGCCATTGCTTCTTCGGCTCGTTTACTGTCGGGAACAACGTTAACTTTCGTATGACGTGGATCGGCCACCAAAACGCTTAGTTTCTCTGACTCGAACACAACCTAACACAACCACCCCGTTGTAATTCTACGCAATTTGAAACAGTGGCACGTATGAATAAAACTAAGCAAATGCTTATACTTGCAAAATTCAAAGTAAATACTCGTAAGTGCTCCTTCGCACTGGGCGACTTAGCAGCGCTGCTAAGCAGAAGGACAGGACACAGTGCAACGCTGCTAAACCATGCTAAACAGACCAGTATGAAGGGCAACAGTTACGAGTATTTACTTTGAATTTTGCAAGTATAAGCATTTGCTTACTTTTATTCATACGGGCCATTGATTAATCTAGGTACCTACTTGCTCAGACTTAATTTTGAAATTCCCGCTAGGCGTCACGTGAAATGGAAACTTTTTTTCCTGATCCTCCGGTGGCCTCTTCGGTAAACTATTAACGAAATGTTGCTGTAGTGTCAGGAGATTGATAGCATATATGATGACATATACAGGGTGATTCAAAATTGAGTGCAAAGATTTTAAGGTCGTATTTACCAGTAGTCCAGTCAAATTAGACGTAAAAATGCTAAATCGTTACAAAAGGTCCGGTAGAAGATTTTATTTTTAAAACTTGTTTAAATTGTAGAGAGAAAAATCCAAGTTTGTCAATGCGACTGACGCCGGGAGAAATTTCTGTGGTCAAAAATCTGCAAAAGTTTCTGATTTTTTCGTTTTTTTTAAATAACTCGCCAACGGTAATACTTAGGTAAAATTATCCATTATTAAAAACTGTAGTGTATAAAAGTACCTTCAATTTGATATTTTATTTGGCCCCCTAACATGTATAGTTTATACACTAATTTAAAGTTGCGTGTTTATAGTAATTTTAAAAAATAACAACATTTTTAGCGAATTTTTTAAGAATTAAAAGAAATGTGGGACCACTAATTTGTCTCGGATTTTGTATGTACATGCATCTAGTAATGTCATGTCAACATTTTGAAAATGGCGGAGAGAGAGGGAGTAAATACAAGTTCTATCCTTCATGGTATTCTAATGAAAGGTCTCATCGAAATGAATTGGTTTCTACAAATACAAACTATAACCTTCCTGCGCGACTCCGTTTCGACATCACTGGGTGACCGGCGGGGTGAGGATATTATCTTCAATGGTAAAAAAAATAACTGTTTTCTACCAGCTCCCGCCTTTCTTTCTAACCCCTTATCAAAAAGGGGGGAGGGTTGAGGGGGGGACTTGTTTTATCCTTCATGGTACTCTAATGAATAGACTCAATGAAAAGAATTACCTTTTACCAATCACAGTCTTCCTTCTCGACCCATTATCGCTTATAATTATTTATATCTCAAGAGCGGATTCTCTGGAAAGGGTACTCACAAAAGGCGATTGGGACGTCTGGAAGAAATATATCTTTTGGTGATGCCATAATTTATGAGCGAAAGAGTTTGTCGAAGGCAAAATGAATCCTCTGAACGAGACATACCTATCTATTGGTGAAGTCCAACCATATCTTGAAAACGAAGTGTCATGAGGGCACTCATAAAGCGGAAGTGGAACGTCAGGACGAGACATGTCCATTGGAGATATCGAAACTTTAATTGAATATCTATAGAACTATTCGGGTTTTTAAAAAAATGCGCTTTACCTGCGTGAGAGTTGTGCACAATTTTACTTGTTTACGTTGGTATTGTTTTTGTAAAAGTTGTTATAATGGATGTAATATAATATAGCAACAGTATTTGGTATCGACTTCATGTAATACGTTGCGTCGCCATTCCTATGAACCAACGTACCTCGCTAACATTTCTCGGTACACCCAACTTAAATTGACCATTAGTTTTAAAACAACCCGTAGAAGAGCGAGCAAAATTTTAATCATTCTCATGTAGCACCAAGTCAGTATTAATTTTGGGAGACTTTTTGAAATTCAAGTCAACGGGGTCATAGGTACACGGCTCAAAAGAAAAGCAGTCAAACGTAAAACATGTAGATTTCGAAAATGCAATAAAATAATATAGGGTGTTCTACTTAAAATAGGAAAGTTGCTATTCATATCCGGTAAAACCGGAAGCGCAACGATAGTGATATTATTTTCATTGGATAGATCAGGACAAACTATGTTGGTGTGCAAATTTTCAGATTTAAATTATCAATGAAAATGTTTAAGTCACTGTTTGCGTGAAACAGCTTGTATACTTGCTGTGAGTGAATGTGTATACGCTTGCGAGATCAACGGCATATTAGAAAAATATGGACAAGGATATTGAAGCATAGGTACGGTCATGCCCAGCTCTACTTGAAAATTCTCCACAGACAGTTTCTCTTCATCCTTCTTTTGTTTGAAGATAGAAGATCGCAAACATATTGAACAGTCACACCTTTAGCAAATGGGAAATCTCCTTCTGAGTTACATTTGGGGCGTCAGTTACGAACAAAGCTTCACCTATTTCAACCACAGAAAACAATTCCAAAAACATCAAAGCTACCAAAGTGTCCATGTTTCAATCAGAATAGCGCGTATCTTTGATTTTAGTAGTCTATATTCAAAGGCGCGTATTAACCCGCAACTACGTGGAGAATTGAAAGTGGCGTTTTGCTACAGTTTTAGAAATTTTAGGGCGCGTAAATTATCAAGTTCATTTAGACCACAATCAGCACATTCTCAAGCGACACCTAAATCAGCTCAAACCAACAGTGTTCAGAACAAGAAGAAGTTACACAAGATTCTCCCGAGGAAGTAACAGAAAAAGGTCACGTTCATTTTACCTCCGCCGAATCTTCCTCCACCCACATTGAATGAGGTATCGAGTGCTCCCCCGTGCAGATCGAATGAAATACCGTTTTCAGTGCCAGTGCTGAGACGATCAGAACGCATTAGCAACTCAGTCATCAAAATGAACTTTCAATTTTTTTTGGTTTCTTATTAAAAAGGGGAGACTGTAGTGTCAGGAGATTGTGATATGATGACAAAATAATATTAGAGACGCTACACCATAAGAACCAGCAGTAAAGCGTATTCGTACCTGATAATTACCTTTTGTTTTCTAGTTCTGTCGAAACGGTGTGAATGTCAACCGTGCAAAGTTTAGGTGTTCTAGTCGAGTCTGTATTCTGCACGCTGACACCTTTATCGGATACGTTTCTCTGATTATCGTATAACAGAAGGACACTCTGATAGTCCGGGTCGTTATGCAAACGATCCTTTCCTGGAGTACATTAAATAGGATGGCGTACAACAACCTAATTATTACCTACTTGTTTTAGTTACTCGTTTCGGTTTTCGTGCAAGGGGCGATTGTAAACCAGAAAAGTCTCCGGAGCCTTGCGGTGGTTTCTTATTGCGATGATGCTGCCATTAGACTAAATACAAGCTAGCATTTGTGAGAGAGGTTTACCTGACAACGTTTTGGTTGGTGACTGAGAGGACAGTCACCAGAACTAAAAATTTCTGTATTCCTATGCCCAGAGTTCCAATTCACCCGTAGGTTTGACGATGAAAATGAACCACTGCAGTTACAATATTATTTCAAACAATATTTGGTTATTAATCACTCACCACAAATTTAAAAGATCAAGGTTGTCTAAATCGCTGTCAGATCCTGTCAGAATATTCTTAAACCGAAAAAACGACTAAAAATGTGAAAGAAGAACGGTTTCCTACCTCTTCATTTGGAGTAAAGGCCCTTCGCATTATACGCACAACCAACTGTAATTTGTATAGGAAATTTACAAGACGCTGCAGGCAACAGGAATTCTTGAGTGGTTAGTGTGAACTAAAAAATTAATGAAACAACACATTTCTATTCCCATAGCAACGAGATAATGCAAAATTATCGAGCAAGCAAGGTATATACCGTTTCCCCTATCAATCTTTTCGGTGTTCGGGAACAAAGAAGAGGTTTGTTGGTTCCTGAGAAGCCAAAATTTCTAAAAGACATAGCAGATCTTTATTCGGATCAATTAGCTTTAAAGTATCGATACACATCTACTTATCCAGAGCCATCGATAGCGTGGCTTAGTAGAGAGCAGCATGGTAGTCCACTTCCTCTGTATAAAGCGAAGATTGTCTTGGAAGGGAAACTGCCTAGGGATTTTGATGGGATAAGGAGCCTTAAATTTTCTGAGGACGCAACACAGTTGATCGTAGGCTATGGATGTGGTAACATAGAGGTAGTAGTCAGTCAGTATTGCTCCCGCTATAAATCCCTTTAAGATATGGCCAATTAGTTCTCATAAAAACAAGCGTTACGTTAAATCGAATGGCGATAAGTTTGCTATTACTTCCATACAGCGCATTCCCAAGACGGAACGTTTTTTGGCTGCCAGCTTGCCTGGAATTGTATACAATTGCGGTCCCATGGATGACGATTATCGCATTTTTATTCGAGGTAATATTATTTAAACTTCAACTGATTCTTATTTTGGTGCTTCATACACACCATTCGTGGGATTTTTAACTGGGAAATTTTATCAAATGCTACAGAAGGTCTGTGACGGTAGGGTTTCCTGTTCAGTTTAGCAAAAAGACGATGCATTAGCATAAGGAAACGAATGTTGTAGACCTCAGAACAAAAAGTATGAGTAGCCAAAGAGGTATTGGTCAGGGAAGAACAAGAGCAGATGAGGTTCAACAAATGAAAATAAAATTGGAAATGATCAATTACAAGGCATGAGAAAAAAAAGTAGCGAAATGGAGAGTGCCCTCAAATATCATTGCAGGATGCAGTGAGGTAAAGGAAGATCGCTGGCAGATGTGGAGAGTGCTGAAAGGTGATACAGATGAGATTAGAACTGCACCTGGATCTTGTAGTTCATTGAACTTTACATTACAAAAATAGTCATTGACCTCTGATGACCTTGAAAATGGAATATTACACAGAAATTGTATATCATTGAACTGGAGTCATTGAGCTGTGGAGTTGTTGAACGTTGGTAGCCTTGAACGTGAAATATGATAACATAAAATAGGATCATTGACCTCCAATGACCTGGACAGCGAATGTCCCTGATTTCATCTGACCTACTTTCTAAGGTCACCTCAAAGTGACACGTGACCATGACCTACTTAACAAGGTAATATCCAGGTGGTAAGCGACCTGGTTCAGAATTCGGTATTAAGCGGAAGAGCAAAGCGATCCAAGCTTTATAGGGGAGTGGATGGTATCTGTCTGTCCGTCTTTCCGTGAACACGATAACTGTCAAACGCTTGGACCGATTTGGTTCAAATTTTGCACAGTTGACCTATATGCCACATGTAATAACCCTATTGAAAATGGGTCAAATCCAATGACTCCGTGGGGTCACGCCGAGGTGCTCTGCCACTTTTTTAGACGCCCTTTAGGGGTTGTGTTTAATTTTTTGAAACTGACAATCGCAGGTTTGTTGTGTTTTTTATTAGCTAGGAAGTACTGGATGCGGTGATGAGCTACCCTCTACGGTGGTTCGCATTGTAGCTAACCGTTACAAAATACACAGTGCTACTGTAGGCTAGAAAATCTATTTGGATGACTACAACATTTGGCAATGAGGACAAAAGTATGTCATTAATACTTTCTTTCTGTTTCATTACAGAACCGCACAACGAAATCAACTCGGTCGATGTATGCTACGATGGAACCCTTGCTGCCACTGGAGGAAAGGATGCTTGTATACGATTGTATGATATTGAGACATGTAAGGTAGGTACCAAATAAGAGCCAATGCCATTTCTCAGCGATAATGATTTTTTACTTGTCCTGAGCATCGAAATCTCCAATGTCCTAACATTTTATAATCATCTATGCTATGGTATTGTTCAAAAGCGAAAAACTGTTTGAGGGTGTTATCCTCTGTTTTAACACAGTTTTTCTCCGTTCCCGTGAGTATTTCGGGAAGTGGCAGACGGTGGCAGGAAACGGCGGACTTCGGGCGATCATTTTTCGAATTGCGTTTTCTATTTCTCTAACCGTTCATTTCGGGTAGGCACAACCATCTCGTACGCTTATTCCATCGAGAACTTTTAAAAATTAAAACCTTTTTAATTAATTACGTCCTTCCCAGACGTCTAAAAAATACAGGACGGTATCAAAATTCAAGTTTTTTAAGAGCGTTGCTTTTGAGATAAGACCCAGTTTAATTGGATGGGTTTCTGCAGCTCATTTAAATGTCATCCATTAATTATTCTTACTCAAATGGCCGAAATGCAATCTACAAAATCAGCAGTTTATTTCACTCACATTCATTGTTAATTGGAATTCACAGGTCAAATGGCGGGATCATCGATATCACTTGGTATCTACGAAATCTTCACGACCTTGCCGGTTTCAATCTGACTTTTAGTATAACATTAGAAAACTAAAATCGACTAATTGGTTATAGTTATTAACGTCATAAGGCCGATATGTAGCAAATAACGGACGTGGTTGAAGTTTGTAAACCGAGGCGTCAGCCGAGGTTTATATTCAACCAAGTCCGTTATTTGCGTATCGGCCGTGTGTCGTTCAAGATTTTTCGTCATCCCATTATGTGTAAATTATATATTTCGACTTCATAAAGATCCATCTTTTCGCAATACTTAAATATAATAATTATCTTGATCATGGTATGCTTATGGTCACATGTTAGCGGTTGTCATGGACGCAACTACTGAAAAATAAACAATTTGTTAAAAACGCGTGCTGAGAAGCTCTACGACGGTTTTCCAAAAATATGGACGTAATTGAAGGAAATATCAATATTCCTCCAGACGTATTAGCAGACTCCATGGCTGCAAGTGTCGATTTGCTACCAGAAAAGACCAGGGAGCGATATCAAAAAGAATACGAAGATTTCAAGGAATGGCTTAAGATTAAGAGGATCAATTTAGTAAATGAAGACGTGTTATTAGCGTACGTAAAGGGAAAATCGGAAATGTACTCGCCCAATTCATTATGGACAAAAGTTTCAATGTTGAAACTCACTTTTAAGGTATATGACAACATTGACGGTTGGTAATTTATTCATGTACTGTATTTATTGTGTATTGGGGATGTTTATTACATTACAGATTCGGAAAATTATTCGCCTTTTTGAAAAGAAAGTCTGAAGGTTACAGACCAAAAAAGTCTAACATTTTGTCTGAAGAGCAAGTCATGACATTTTTATTGGAAGCTGATGATGGTGTATGGCTCCTAGAAAAAGTCATCTTAATATGTGGAATATTTGGCGCTTGTAGGGGTGATGAGCTTTTTAAGTTGAACGTGGAGGACTTTGAAGACACCAACAAAAACGTAATAGTTACATTGCGGATCACAAAAAATAAGAAAAGCAGAGTGTTTTTAATTCCGAAAGAAGGACTTTCCTTCAATGCGTATCAGTTATACCAAAAATACGCGGAAAAACGTCCTCAAAATTTAGAAACTCGGCGATTTTTCATTGTCTACCGCAAAGAAAAGTGTGTTAGGCAGGTTGTGGGCATTCATACCATTGGGGGTGTTCCCAGGAAAATTGCTAAGTTCTTAAAATTAAAAAACCCAGAGTTATACACGGGCCATTCGTTTCGGAGGTCATCCGCTCCCATGCTTGCAGAAAATGGCGGCGATCTCCTAGCAGTGAAGGAACTTGGAGGCTGGGATTCATCTGCGGTAGCGGAGTCGTATATTGAAAATTCTGTTTCGAAGCGATTAAAAATCACCAAACAACTATTTCAAAGGTCCAATGGAAACTCTGAAATTACAACATCCATAGCCACAGCTTCTTCATCAAGTGTAACATCAACAGGTGATAGTGGTCCTCAAGTTTCCTACGATGGACTACAGATTTCTAGCAATAACTGTCACTTTAATTTTCATATTCATTATAATAAGTAGTTGTTTGTATTTCAATAAAAGCATTATTTCTTAACGGCCGCATATGCGTCCGTTATTTTTTAACGGACGCCGTCCGTTATGAATGATATTTCATTTGTCAAATGAGTTGAGTTAAATTGAAATAACAGTATGTGATGACGAAAAAGGATTAACGGTCCTAAAACTCAACCAGGTTAGTTGTCTCCCTTCCTCTTTGCTAAGAGAGCTCCCGGCGGCTTTAAAAGCAATTTAAATATTCTTTCCGAAACAGTTGCAAACGGTAAATTACATACGGCCTCTTGTTCTCATTAACGGGCGGCTGTAAAAATTAACTACCTAATATTTTCAACTTCTACACAGAAATAAATATTTTCGAAGCGACAATCTTTGTAACGAGGCGCTTCAATTTTAAATCGCATGTATACACTGGGTGCTCATCTACTGAGTGATAGCTAAAACTGGTATAATTTCTCGGCGGATAACGGGTGCTTCTTTACAAGGGCGTCAATACATTGGGCTCTGGAGAGAACCACACCAAATATTTTTTTCAATTAAACTTTTTTCGACAATAAACGAGTTTTTATAGATTTTTGAATATACTCTTTCTAATTTTGAAAAATTCCCCACCTAAGACGGTTGTCGACGAAATTTTATGTCTCGGGAGGACAGATTTCTAATTATTCCGACGCGAAAAACACTCGTAATAGAAGCACTGCACTCTAATATACACAGTGTCTAAGATAGGATGTCTATGGGGTTCTCCGAAACCATAGAAGATAAGACGATGGTAAGATTAGAAAAAATGCGCAATTAAACAGTTACTATCACGCTTTAAATAAAATCAGAAAACTAGAATTACTTCCGGAGATATGCTAGGAAAACCGGAGTTTGCCGATTTGGTTTTTATTTCTGATGTTATTTGAAGAGACACAAAAAAACACTTTCTCATTGCCACCTTTTTAAGCTCTACAGAACACCGCCAACGCCAACGTTTCGTTTCGGAGAAATCATCATCAACTTTATTTTTTTTATGACCCGTACAAAAAGTACACGCTGTATTGAGTAGTATTTTTTAATACGAATACAATGATATAAGGCAAACAAAAAAAACAAAAGTTGGAAACTGTTGATTTCAACAGGATGGGGCACCAGTGCACAACGCCCTGTGAGAATATGTAAAGACTAAAAGACCAACGGTTTCCAACCCTTATCTTGGACACAGTGTATACAGAATTGCTAGTGACCCATTCGTCACTAAAGAAATGAACTGCTTTTCGTCTACATTCGATTTGCAAATGCGCTGCCACTTCTTGGCGAAGCGAATATTCTTAGACGGCTTTAAGCACAAAATGCACATCACCCTTTTGTTTAAAAATTCAAGTGACCTATTGTCCTTGACATGGAGTGTGTACCCCCCATGAAATTCTGTCAGTTTTTGTGACCCGACACTATGGTTGCAGCTAAATGTTTCTAGGCATTTGATTTAAATTTCGTCGACAATAAAACTTTTCCCACTATCAGTTATAGTTCTGAGACCATTTTGACTTTTGATCTATAGACACATTAACCCCTAAGTCGATCCGTTCAAGAGTTATCCCATGAATGGATGGACGGATAGACAGGCAGATCCACAACATTGCGATTTTACTGACGGTCTTTATTATTGAATGCGATTTAGAAATAACGATATTCGTTTAGATCCGCCACTATTTACTCAAAATTCTGTTTCAGACAATTCGCATTTTCAAAAGATCGTCGTACGGATATGCAAACGAAGATAGCAACTTTCACGGTCTAAGAATACTATGCGTCAAATTTCACCCCGAAATGGATAACACCATGGTGTCGGGAGGATGGGACGGTTTAGTTAAGGTATGAGTTAGTAAACCCCTAAAGGAGATCTAAAAAAGCGGCAGATCACATCGGTGTGACCCTACGAGGTCGTTGGATTTGACTCATTTTCAATAGGCTTGTTACATGTGGTGTATATGTCAACTGTGCAAAGTTTGAACCGAATCGTTCCAAGCGTTATAGTGTTCACGGACAGACGGTCGCCATCGAAATAAAGCTTGCACCGTTTTGCTCTGCCGCTTAATAATTAACAGAAACATCTGTTCGCATTTTTGTGCTAGATTTGGGACACACGAACGCCTGGGGGTTGTGTCAGTAACCTTTGCGGACCCTACATCTGCGGTGAGGCTATAGACATCAATGTAAGGCATACTTGAGCATTAAGGGAGATTATTTTTAAAAATGTGAGCAGGCTTCGACGGTGTTAACTGGATCAATGCAAATCGGCAATGGCCTCCAGCTGTGGAATATAAATACGGGAAAGTTAATCGAATGTGTTTCTCCCTTAAACCGGTCCGTTGCTGTAAATGGGGAGTTTACTTACACGGCTAAGTTTTACGACGGCGATTTCTCGGGAAACACGGTAATTGCGGGAGGAAGAAATTCTAAATTTGAGATGATAGACATTATGGAAAGAAGGGTAATGTGTGGGTTTCCTGTGAAGAGAAGTTGTTTAGCCATTGACAGTAAAGACAAACTTTTGGCGTTTGGTGGTCTAGAACCGATGCTTAGGGTAGTAAATTATAATTAATCGCCGTTTATTGTTTCCCTTTACACAATTCAATGACGTTACACAGAGGCAAATACCAAATCCTATAATGTAAGGCAGCACATTTATGACAAGTTATCTCTCTATTTATACCTGTGTGCATAAAGAAAAAGCCAGTTATTGTTACCTGTTGCTTTGCTTCTGGCAAAGCACAGCTTTTTATAATGAACTCGATTACAGTCATTACTCAATCGAAGTGTAATCGTTAGAAACGTCTTTAAACTTAAGTCGGTACTATTGCTAATTTCGTTCTAATCAATATGGTGTTCTTCGATTGATAAAATCGTGGTGGACTTTCCCCAAATGATTTTTTTCTTGCGGCGATTTCTACTCAAGAATATAGATGTCGGAAGCACAATCGTAAGAAGGGTTTTAACTTGCAAAATGAGAAGTAGTTCCAATTTCTTTTGCATGTCATAGACAGTCATCTGGTGGTTAAGAATCTAAGTTTTCGACCTCCCACCCTGGTGCTTCCCCCGTACCACCCCCAAAACCCCTGAAATATGGTTGGTTTCTTAGTTTTTCAATCATGTCTTTTTAATGGTTCACTTTAGAAATAAATATTGTTCTCAGAAATTATAGACCATAAAATTCTACAGAACTTTGATATACACTACTTTTTTGTGAAATGTTTATTAAAAAAGATATATAGCTTGAGAGTTGGTTATATTTTGAAGAATTCTGAAATTTCTCTGTAGATGTTTTAACCAAATTTGATTTTATAATTAATTTTATAATAATTAAGAGTTTTATGAGAAAATATCTTGAACTTATCGTGGTATAAACTCCCTACCCTGCACCCTTACCAAAGGGGATGCATAATAATTCAACTTTCAACCCTTGCTAGTGGGGATGTTTGAATCACTGTGAGATTGTAGCGCTTTCTAATATACTTTTGAAATTAAAAATATGTCTCACTTCAGTTCAGTTTCACCCCCCCCCTCCACGCGCGGTAGAAATAGGTATTCGACACTTCGCCTTGTCTGGCCTTGGTTTCTCGTTCGACATTTCTGTTTCGTCATATTGTGTCGTTCAGACACCCCGATGTTCTTGTTGCTTTTTGTGTTTTATCTCTCATTTCGGACTTACTCCTTAATGCCCCCTGCATGACCGAAGGGTGGATTGAGTAGCACAACGGTCATGTTGCCGGTCCTAAGGTCGGAAAATAGATGAAGGTTCCCACACCAGGTTAGCTATATAAATGAGGTAAAAAAGGGCGCAGGCTGATAGAATCAACAAACAAGACGGATTCAGAAGTGACGACCTACGCAAGAAAAATAATGATTTGGAAGAAGAGTAAGTATAATGCGATAATTGCTATCTGGAACATAAGGTCATTCAACAACAAAAACCAACACACACTAAATTAACTAAAGCATTATAAAATCGACATATGTGCTCTACAAAAAACCAAGAAGAAGGGGAAAGCCAAAAAATATGGTGATATGGTACAGCGGAGTAGACAAACATGAGAGAGTAAAAGAGGGAGTATCCATAAAATAGTATATTGTTTACCAAGGACGAGAAGTGAGTTTTCGCTGAAAATGTGCCACTCAGTTCGAGTGCGGAAATTCCGACGTGTCGGCGGATTTCACTCGTTCGTGGCAAACACAAAATTTTTTTTACTAGTATGCTGAAAATTCTTGTATAAAAACGGCTAGTCAACACAGGCATAGAAATCAAATGAGGCAGAGAAGTGGAAAGGGGGCAGAGAAGTAAAATGTCTCTGCTTGTTTTCGGTTTCTCTGCCCCTAGCAACGAAACGATACTTCGCATGTTTGAATATGATCAGCGAAATGTCACATTTGACGTACGTTTAAAAAAAAGTAAATTAACAAGGTAAAAATAGTTATTTATATAACAAGAGCGCGAAGTTCAATTTCGCGCATTGAGACTGAAGGTATTTTGACGAGGCGAAGCCGAGTTAAAATATCAGTCAAATGCGCGAAATAACTTCGCGCTAGCGTTGTATACAATATTTTTTCTACAACTGAATCGATTGTTAATTAAATTTGCTGTTTAAGTTCAACTTTGTCACGTGCGCGAAATACTTTTTTTCACTGTTGACGATTTCGCGCACGTTGTCAATAGCAACCTTATTTATTAATTAACCGTTTAAAAATCTAGTACTTCGCGTTTCGAAATTCGTCGGAAAATGACAGGTTTTTTTTGACAGTTGTAGAAAAATGATATTTTTTTCAAGAATTCATAAAAACAAAAAAGAATGAATGTATTCATCAACAAAAATCAAGAAACTTTAAATTGGAATCTCTATATATAAAAACTATATATGCTGAAGGACCACATAAAATATTAAATGAAAGGTACACTTTTATACTATTATTATAATTCTGAATTCTTACCTAAGTATTGCCGTTGTCGAGTGATTAAAAAAAAATCCTAAAAAAAATTAGACATTTTCGTTCATTTTTGATCACAGAAATTTCTCCCGACGTGAGTATCATTGGCAAACTTGGTTTTTAGGGAACTTCGTAAAAAACACTAAAAGAGATAGCGATGATAAATCTTCGCCAATCGACTTCTACGAGTTCAAGGATCAGTGCTATTGAATGTGAGCCGGATTAAAAGTTTGGTTTCCGAATGCGAACTGAGTGGCACAAAATTCCCCTACTGACTACGTTTTGTAACCATTAAGTACAAATTGACTAAAATAAAAACGGTAAGGATACAACGGATATACATTTTGTCTGTTATAGAATGGAATTTATATAGAATGAGGGATATTGAATTCAGACGCAGGTAAAAACATTAATTCGTTCTCAAGTGCCCCATTCTTCGCCAGTGAACAGCATATGTACTTGAATATTTCTAACATTTTTTTGGGAATTGTTTGAATTACCCGAAATCTTGCAATCTTCCGGGAACCCAGTTTACCTTTTTTTTTATTCCGCCTACAATTGTTTTGCCATTCTTCAATATTTCCGAAGCTTTATTTTTCGTTTAATTTTATTTTCATTAGAATTTGCATTGCATTGTTTTCCAATGAAAAGCGCAGTTTTATACAGTTCGGAAATCATGATTACCTTAATCGCGATTTTTTGGTACCAATCAAATTTCCGAATTCTTTGAGTCATTGAATTTTTTTGGCCACATTTGCAACGATTCTATATTACCTAGCCTTCTTATAACTTTTCAAGAATCCTCGAAAATCGCCTTGAATTCTGCTCGTGAAAGTTTACGCTTTTTCTAGGTGCATTTTGCCAAACGAGAGTAGCTACTATGCAAACTTTGTCCGTCGGTCCGCTCCTCAATCTTCATTCTTCTTTTATTAGCGAGGAGTACTGCAAAAAATTACTTTTAATCGTTTCTCCTGACTGCTATACAAAAACAAAACTCCCATCCCTCCCACTTATGCACGTTTTCGGCTACCTCTGTCGGTCGGTCTGAAACTTTGGTAATTTATTTATTTGTTTAACGGAAATACCATTTTTACAAAAAATACAAAACGTAATATCATATAGCAAAATGTAATAACAAAACGAAGTGTGACTATAAATCAAAATTACTGAAAAATTTAACAATAGTAGGTATATTATTTTAAGCGGAGGAGAAGTGTGACTTTTCATGGCGCGCCTGAGTAATAGAAGGCAAGCCATGAAAAGTCACTTCTCCTCCAAATTAAATATGCTATTTTTTCTTCAAACGCTTTAAAATATGCATTATAAAGCTGCAATGTTTTTGTGTTTTTCATAATATTCAATTCTGGGTTTGATTTATGCATACAATATTAGAAATGTAGGCGATTAGTTTCGATTGTTATCTCCTACAAAAAAAAACGTTTTGATAGATATAAATTGTTCATCTTTGCTGTTAGTTGTGACCGGTTGGTTTTTGAAATGCAACCGAGCTTGTCGGCAGAAATTGATGCTGCGGCCAATAAGGCTGTCTCCTCTTTTGGACCGACAAATCTAGCGAGAAATATGCCGCGTACGATTACCTATTTTAAAAAGTGGCGCGATTCAAAGAATGTAAATAAATTTGACCAAAATGTGTGTAATTTTAATTTTGTGGTTTAAATATGTAATGTCTTAATTGACGTAACTGGAGCCTGCCTGCAGATGTAATGAAATGTTAAAAATGAAAATTACTGATATAGAGGACGTGGGGATTGGCGAATGTTGTTTGGATGAAAATTTCGGATAGTACCTATATAAGACTAGAAAAGTTCGATCGTTCACAATACAATAATTGGAGGAAATTACGTCAAAATCTATCGAAAATACGCAGTGTGAAGACCAAAAATATGCCAGAAACTAGATTCTTTTTAACATACCAAAATGCAAAAGTGCTGCAGGAGTGTAGTGGGAATAGGTACACACACTATTATCTATTATAAAGGTTTAACTTTCTTAAAATGAAGTAATTCAATAGAATAGGTACGTGCACATGCCATTCTTTAAGACGCACTTCGGCTACATTATTAATTGATGGAGGCGTTAGCAAAACAAATCTTATTAAATCATCAGGATCTCATTTGATTGCAGCAAACTACGTCTGTACAGACTTCTACAGTACTGCATGGTTTTAACTTTCAAAAGGCAACATTGACAAATTGCACGTTTAATAAAAGTTTGACAAATAAAAATTTTAATTAATTATTAATTATTTTAGCGTTTCCATAGCAACACTTTTCCCTCCGTGGAGGGAAAAGGAAAAGTAAAACTGCCGCCGGCGGAAAAGTTGTATTTTTCCGCAGCCACCTCAGTCAAATTATTGCCCAATATTTTGACGTTTGAAGAAAAAAAATATTTCAAATAGAAAAAAAATAAAGAAAATGGTTTTTTTAAGTCCGGTGTTGTAGGTCAGGTACAAATGCAAAGTGCTAATCAGGTTTTCTCAAAATTTGATAGTCCGTTCCTTTTCGGCTGAAGATTTCTTTAAAATCTGCTTGGAATATTATTGTAAGTTTCCTGTGGTCAGTACGATACAATATTATATTAATAATTCTATTTCCTAGAGCC